ATGGGTTTCACATGGAGAAGGTAGGAGACCTTTTTTGTCCTTTCCTCCATCCTGCTAGTTGAATTATGGTTGTCGTTGCTAGAGCTCAAACAAATGTTTGAACCACGTGGAAAAGTCACATGATAAAAATGGGGATGTAACAAGATCAAAAGAGCCTCGGTCCCTGCCAAGGAGCTCCAGTTCTAACCCTCACTCCATCAAACTTCAGACTTCTTAGACATGAGAGGGAAATGCATGTCTATCTTGTTTATTTTGATTTTTCTTTCATATATAACTAAACTTTAACTGATGTAGGATGCATTGTGTTAAGTTGATTGGATGGTGGCAAAATTGGACACCCCGGTTAGAAAAATGAAGCAAGTAAAACAAAGCAAAAAAAAAAAAAAAAAAAATGATGTGACCTGTACAAGGAAAGTGACATTGAGAAGGCAGAGGGATGAACAAACTCCAGAGATATTTGGGAGTTGGCAGTGACGGAAGCTGTGGTGGATGGGATGTGGGGATAACAGTGAAGGATGATGATACTATTGGCATTTGGAGTCAGAGAATTCTTTGTTGTGGGGGGCTCTCCTGGGCAGTGTAGGATGTTTGGCAGCACCTCTGACCTCTACCCCCCATAATCACAGTCATAACAATAAAAACTGACTCCAGACATTGACAAATGTTCTTTTGGGGGCAAAATCACTCCTGGTTGAGAACCACTGATGTCAGATAAATGTTAGTGCTTGTAAGTAAGGCATTTCTATGACATTCCCGTGGCCTTGAAACTGGTTTCAGGAATGGGCACGTGACACATAATTTGCATTAAGGAAATGAGGAGAGAAGTTTTCTGGCAGTTTCAAGGAAAAGTTTCTGTGCTCCCAAAAGAGAGCCACAAGCTGGGATGCCTTTTCCTCTTCTGAATACCATTGTGTGTTGATGTGAAGCCTGGATCTACGCAGCCCTTTTGCACACACCTGACTCAGGTGGGCGTGTAGACCTGGAGCTGTTGGATTGGGCTACGTCTGGTCATTGGCCTGCTCCTTGTTTTCCAATGAAATGAACCCACAGCCTCCCTTCTAATTTAACCCAGTTTGTGTGGGATTTTCTGTTACTTGCTGCCAGAGACTTCTAGCCTACACAGCAACTTTGGCAGGATCAGTTCTAGGGGAGAGTTTAGGGGCAGAAGCCAGACGGGGGTGGCTCAAGGATCAAATGGGAGGTGACGTGTGGGAGTGAGTGATCGAGACTAAAAGTTTGGCATTGAAAGGACACAGATAAGGCAGGAGTTGGGGGTGGAGTGTGACAGAAGTATGTTTGTTGATATGTGGAGGACTGTGCTTAATGGGACAAAGCCAATAAAAAAGAAGAGGCTGCGATCAGAGCACAGAGGGAAGTTCTTCCATAGAGCAAAGTCTCTGGAAAGAGAAGGAGAAAGGGCTGAGCTCCCGGAATACGTGGATGGCTCATTACGGGCAGGAGGAAGGACACGTCTCCCGTCCTGACATCGGGGATGGAAAAGGAGAATTAGATAAATTTGTAGTGTGGAGGCCAGATATTAAGAAAGTCCTTTTTTGGTCATTCCAGTGTTTCTGTGGAGTAACAGGGAGGGGGGAGAAAAAAGTGGAGGAAATACCTGGGGAGATTCTTCAAAACAATAGGAGTTGTCCAGATAAAGGTGCTGTTTCATCTGCAAAAATTGCTGAACTCTGCCGTCTGGCATCACATCTATTGGGCACAATGAGTCCTTTCCACTCTCCTCATTGTAGAAGATGCCCTAGATACAGGTTTAAAGAGAGTGGCTGCAAGCCTGGACTTCATGGAATGACAGTTTACATAGGCCAACCAGGCTCCCCAAATTCTGGGCTGCCGCTTTTTGGAGAATTCCTTCCAGGCCCTCTCCTAAGCTGCAGTCCAGAGCTGGGAGAGTCCTCATGGCTCTTGCTTACCGCACAAATGTGAGAAACGGCTGTCTAAGGTCCATTTGAACATGGCTTTCCTCCCAGACCTCTTGTCTGAACTTTAATATAATCGAATGTTTGGAAATCGTTAAGTAGCTGCCTCGACTTGTTTAACTCGATGGCCACAGACGTTTCATCAAGCTGACACAGGATTTATGTCTCAATAACACAGTAACATTCAGTGAGCACCGTGGGCTCGGGGCGATTTATGCCTGCTCTGCAATTGGCGAGTGATTTAAGCCCCGAGTGAGGGGCAGAGTTATGAGGGAGTCCACTAAGACACCCTGCATCCTGCAGCTGGACTGCTTCCCGCTGGGGGTGGGGGGAGATGGCCCTGGTCACTCCCTGACATTTTCCGTGATAGTTTTTCATTAGGGAAAAAATCAGAAGTCTGAACTAGTTCTCTTTTGTCTGCAAAATGTTTCCAGTCATTCTGGTTCCCATTTAACTCCAAATCGGTCTTGGACAAGACAAGGATGAAAGCAGTCTTCAGAACTCAGTGCCAAACAAGACACTCCAGCTTCCCATTCTAATTTGGCCAATGGCCATGCTGTGTGTCTCGAGGTGCAGATTGGCTCAGGGTGAAGGTCATGAATTGCTTTTCTCAAGTCTGTGTTGGTGCCCACAACAAATCAGCTAGTAGGTCCCCAGGCTACCAAAGAGGTCCCAGTCAGTGCTGGGTGGCTCCTGGAGACACTCATGCAGAGGAGGAAGTCCCCAGGGGTTCTGAGCTGGGCATGTCTGACTCTGAAGCCTGGCCACCCTGTAATCTAGGTCTGCAGCTTTGGGCCATTACTTAACCTGTTAGTGTCCCTATAAATTGGGACTATAAGACCTCACTCAGGAGATTGTCATGAGATAATCTGACTCTAAAAATATCTAAAATGCCAGTAGCAGGATCATCAAAAGGGAAAACCAAGCAGAGACAGAAATGAACATACTTAATTTTGAGCCTAGAATCACCCTGGAATAGCAAAAAGAGAATCAGACTTCGAGTTACAAGTCCTGGGTTCAAGTGCCAGCTCTTCCTTGCTAGCTATGGAAATGATCATATGTATGCCATGTGGCTGTTAGGAGAAATCCATAAGAAATCATTTATGAAAACACCTAATACTTGGCAGATACAAAATACATATGCATTTTCTCCCCCC